CAGAAAAATAAACAGAATCCTGTCAGCAAAGAAAACTGGCCAGCAAGACGGGAGCAAACCTCTTTCTTACAAATTTCCCCTCACTTTTAATGTCCTTTGTCTCTTTCTGCTAATATAGGTCAAATCTTGTCTTATAGCTTTCAAGAAATCTAAAATTAATGTAAAAGAGGGAGAGATCAAACCCTATAGGATGATCTAACAGCTGTGTAGCCCAGTGTCTTTTCAGTAACAAATGTTTGTTGCATTTTTTTTTTTTTTTTAAAGTCCCTGTTTGAGGTTCAAGTATGATTCACAACAACAGCAAACTACTTCAATTCTCAAGAATAACAAGAACAACCGTTATTAAGGGGGGGTTTCCATGTCTGACCAAGTGCTGGAGCAGCTTCCCTGCGGATCAGCACCGCGGACAGCGGCCCCACCGGCTGTGCTTGCTTTCATTGCCAGGCCCAAAATCCTTGGCTGATATCTAACAATTAATCTAAGACAACAGTCATTCCCAGGGTTAAACCCTCTAACACATTTTTTTCCCCACATTATTTTTCCACCACCACGTTTAAGGCTCTTACTTAGAGTGTGAAACGTTATCTTCTAGGCTATTGGGACAGCCTGGTATACAGAGAGTGACTGTTCTGTTACAAGTTCAGAAATTGAGCATTTATTTTAAAGACTGAATCGTGTGTTTTTTTTTTTTTTTTTTCTTTGCCTATCAGCTAAATTTGCTGTTTGTAAAGCACAAGGAGACAAATTTATTGGAAAATTCAAAGCAAGGGGCATAAAAAAATACTGTGGACCCTGGAAATCATCTCAAGATCAATCTATAACAAAGCTGCATTACTATGTAATGTAGAACTGTCAGAAAAGAGTCAGAGTCAAAAACCAACTACAAAAAGAGCAAGCATCAATAGACAAAGCTCCGGATGGAGATGCAGTTATATCTTGCATCTTAAAAAAAATAAATAAATAAAATTCTTCAGTATTCAGATTTTTCAGCTGGCATTTTGGGAATTTCATCTGTGTTTTCCAGATGATATTGTAGAGGATATGACTTAAATTTAGGGCTGAACATCTCCTAAACTTTGTCATCTTCATGAGAATCTCTTTTAAAAGGGCATGAAGGTCCACACACTGATCAAGAAAGGTGGGGTATTACTCCCTAACATATACATCTTTCTGTAAGCAGTTCTCTCTGTACTCCTTCCTCAACATCCTCCCCTGCAGTGACTGGCAGTCATGACTACAGGACCAGCTTGAGACATGCTTGAGACACAGGGCCTGAGAACTTGTGAGTAACAATATTGAGAACAAGGAATTGTGGTCATATTTCTGATGCTTATGTCCATCCAGAAGTCAGAGGGTGTGCACTTGCAGTGGACTGTAAAAGATGACTTAATAATGAGCTCAGAGAATTAATGGAGGTGAAGGAAGGGAGCAAAGAAGTCTGCTGGAATGCAGGGAGAGGAAGGAAATGGTCTGGGATTCAACTGTGAGAGGTCAGACATCACAAGGGTAGTGCAAGTCGGATGTGATCAGATGTGAGGCAGAAGGCAATCCTGATCAGGGATGACTGTGAAGAAGCAGTTACTACAAAGTGATGCATGTTCATCTGCACGGTTCCTGAAGATGTGGAGAAACCGTGCCAGGCTTCTCTCAGGGCCTTCTTCTCTGCAAGCACTATCATTTTCACTGTGTTTATTCCTCTGACAGCTCTGTTTCCAGCATAAACAGGCTGCCTTGTCTTTACGCCCCTTACAGCCTCTGCTCAGCTCCCACACTCTGCCAATTCCCTGGGTGAAAGCAAATTGCCTTTTCTTCTTCTATTTTTTTTTTTTTTTAAAAAAAGAACAACAGTAAGTGTCCTTTAAATTTTCAGTTAAACTGGGAGGCAATTTCTTGCATGAGAGCTCTGTCTAGATAGGCTTATAGCTGAACAAAAATAAATAAATACACTGAATAACCTCTCCCATGCCCACCTTGTCTTAACAAAGTGCTACTTGACAAGTGTTATTTCAATAGAAATTTTTGAACAGGCCAACTGACACTGATTCAGCCTTCAGCAAGGACTACAGCTCCGTCTGTCCCTTCTGTGTCAGACAGGAAGGAGGCAAAGTTGCCCAAGGTTAAGAATGCACACCACCTTCCTGGGCAAAGATTGTACGGGGTCTTCAAGCCATGTTCTGAAATAGATTTCAGGGTCTCCAATGTGCCTCCTGTGATTTCTGTGTGACAGCTGTGTTTGGTTGCAGTGTTGTCATCCAGCAGTGGTTTGCAAGTCTACATGATGACTGAGGCAGAGAAACCACTGTGGGTGCCCATGCTGGCACTCTCTTTACAAGGAGAAACACCATCCTCAGAACATTACAGTCAGGGCACTGCTCCTATACTCAGCTGAATGCTTCAGCCTCACAGGCAGGCATGCCCCCACAAGGTGCTGATCCACATTTCACTCTGGCAGAAGTGGGGCTAGGAGAGGTGGATGAGGCTAGATCTCAGAGGAAAGACATTTTGATAGAGATTGTGTTGTTACTATTATTTAAACCAGCTTGTTTTAATCTCTGTTAATATTAGTGAAAGTCTGCATGAGCAGAAAACAAATCCTGTGGTGATGCATACTGAATTATTACTATTTTTTTTTAACCCCATGCACTAATCCATGCGTTTGCTTAGTTTGGGGTTTCCTTTGCGCCTTTCAATTTCTATTTGCTGTTTTGCAACTGACTTTGCTGGTTCTCAACCTTTTCCATGCTGCACTCTCCCCTTTTTCCAAAACCTCACTCTTCTCCCCAGCTGGGAACAATTCAGGATATCCCTATAGGAAGAGCCCAGCAAGAGCATCACGGCTGCTATCTCTGCCTGCCCAACCCACCTCCACAAAGCAAATGAAGTAGCCTGATCTGCGTATTGGCCACTGTAGGGTCCCTGCTTCTCTTCTACCTGCCGCGTTGCATGCATTAAGCACACTGCCACCATGGAAGAGGATGACTGATACAGCGCTAGTCAAACTTAAAGACTTTTTAAATTCAAGATTTGCAATGAGGTCAAGGGACCTTTTGAAGTGCTGAGGTATTGACTCCCAGACCTTCCCTTCCTTCCTGCCCTTCGTTGTCCCCAGTCCTCTCCCCAGCCTTGAAATGAAACAGAAAATTATTTTTTTAAAACTGCGTTAATATGTTATGTTTAGTATAAACAATGATTTTATGGCATCACCAAAGGTCATTTTTTTCATCTCTACGTTACCACCCCAGCTTCTGAAGCCACATGCCCTCTTCTCCCCCTAGTACTACTGGCCCTCCCTTTCATTCACCGTCAGCATTCCCCCCCATTCACCACAGCACATCACACCCAGAGATGTGCATCAGGTTCACCCAGTGAGCGCTGGAGAACAGATTTCCCACCAACTGGAACCATTTCCACGTTCAAAATAGTCAGTTGCTGCAAATGAAAAGCAGACTCATTTCTTATGTAATTTTTTTTTTTAAAGCCTTTTATACCTATTTACATGTGTGCGTGCACCATGTGTACACAGGGGTATCTGTGCAAACAGATGCACAAGAATCTCTCTCTCTCAAATATGAATATATTGTATGTTAGAGCTGTAAATATTCCTTGGTCACGCGTCTATGTCTTCTTCAAAGTATCATATCTCCTCAGTGTTACGTTAACAACTCCACTTACTGATCGATGAAACTGTGTGTAGACCTGTACCCTACTGACATAGTTTATGTAGCTCTCTCTTCTCAAATAAAGTACAAAACTACTTACTAGCTGGTCCTGCTTTCTGTTCTACGTCGGATATTCTGCTTTAATTTATAAAAACCTACGCTGCTGCATTTTCCAACCATCCCAACAGCAGAGGCACATCCACACCATGCTTTAGACCTGGTCAACATGTATGACAGCTATAACAAAATATAGTAATCTATAGATGAAATGTTGCCTCAAGTACTTTAAATGACCTTATTCACTCTTCCCAACAACTCCCAGGCACAGCCTTCAACAACCCCAGCTCACTTCCAGCCCAGTAGAGATGACAGAGCCCATGCTGCTTTTCCCCTGGCAATGGTGTCCACACCCCTGGATTAAACAACTCCTCACTGTGCAGAAATCTCTCTGTGACTTAAAAAGGAGGCAGTAGCTGCCCTGTTGTGTTGTTGGTTTGTTGTTGCCTGGAGAGCTCAGCACCTGAACTCAATACCCCACATAAACCTTGGGGCAAGGAACAAGATTAAAGAACATAGCAAAATTCACCCTTGTCACCATGACTCTTGACATTGGTTTCATGGAGAAAGCACCAAGACCAGAGGATATTTCACCACTGCAAGCTGAAAAAAAAGCCTTTGCACAGCTACACTTACAGGGCAAAGCCATAAAGGTGATTTGTGAAGTAACGTTTAATTTACTGCAAACGACACCACACTCCAGCTGCCAAGAACTTGACTGACAATTTCTATTTATTTATATCCTGCTATACAATATCTGCATTAATGTTGTAAATTTTTCTGATTGGAATTTTACAGTGTCTGCCTCGATATTTATTGATCATAAAATAATCTGCACAACCTGCTATATTCAAGGCAGGGAGAACGGATGCCAGAGAAATCATTTGACAGGATTTGGGTACCTGTGTCCAGGTAACAGAAGACGCTCAGATGATATTTTTACAGCTTTATGTATTAATCAAGAACCAGCCTTTTGAGCTGCTTTTCTGCCATACCCCCAAAGCCTCTTCTGAAACATTTCCAAGAGCCTGCTATTGGTTTATCTACCAGCAACTCCATATGGACCCTGCAACTTGCCTCATTTGCAGCTTCTCACTCTTGAGAAATCCCACCTTCACAATGAAATCTGGTATTTTCACAACTGTTCACTAAAACAGCCTATGAGGGAAGGATTTGGCTTTTTCAAAAGCAGTGAGACCACCCTGTATCTTTTGATTTTGGCAGGAAAAGACAGAAGCATAAAATTTCTGCCCACAAGGGAAAAATTATGAAACGTGGTCTCACCTGGGAGTTTCCCTATTGCCTGGTAAACAGTCTTCTCTTTCATTCACAGTTTCAGCTATGCAGCTTTCCAGCATCTTCAGTGGATTCTGCCTCCTGAATTTAGGCTTTTTTGTTGTTGTTGTTTTTGCTAGAAGAGATCTTTGGTCCCCTGCAGAAATCAGAGCAGTGCATGCTGGAAGGAAGCACACAAGTGTATCTGCCTGTGTGCTCTTGGTCACAGTTAAGCCCACCTTCCATTCATCATCATCATATAATCACTAAGGGTAGAAAAGACCATGAAGATCATCAGCTCCAACCATCAACCCATCCCCACCATGCCCACTATGTCCCTCAGAGCCACATCTCCACTGTTTTTGAATACCTCCATTGACACCACCCGTCCTCCCTGTCCACCCCTCCTTTGTACAAGGCAGCACCCAAATCTTCTTTCCCTTCAGCTTCTGTAATCTACCATTGCAACACCTGTGCAAAGACCCTTGGCAGCCATGTCGAGCCTGCAGGTGTGCACATACATACATACACATCCCTACTAGTCCAGTAAGGATATCACCAGCTCAGGACACACACAGATTCACATCCACCCTTCTGCTGTCCCTAAGGCACCCTTCCTTTGAGCACAGACACCTTCTCTCTACATGAATACACGTCTCATGCCCAATCCACCACACAGATACCTTCTCCCAGAGCAACCCTTCTACAAACCCAGCACACATACACCCTGCTACTCCTGCCCACCACTCCTCTGCCTGCTCCTGCTCTCATTCATCAAGAGCCCAGATTTAGCTCGCTCCTCTCCCCATGAATGCTGCACTAGCTATTTATTCCTGCTGCTTTCTAAGACCCACAACCTCACCCCTCATTAAACAGCTTTCTCTTCTCTACATCAGCATAACAAACCAGAGGCTGACAGTTTGCATTTTAACCTCATTAGCTGTGGCCTGGCAGCTTGATGGACAAGGTTCCCTTTTGCTATTGATTTAAGGCATTTATGCAATAGAGACCCTTTGAAATTCATTAAAAATACAGTAAAAGAAAACAAAAAAAACTCTTCTATGTGACCAAGTTCCCTAGGAATCCCCCCATAAAATGCCCCCTCTCAGTGCACATTACAGGGCCCTGCTATTTGTCTTTGCCTATCCTGGATGAGGTGGTTACATGAGTGTGCAGCAGCTGGCGGAGCATCTAATGGAGCTGGGAATAAAACCACACCAAAGTAAAACAGCAGCTGAGGCTGCCTACAACTGGGCTGTCACAGCAGCACATGCCCTGGATCAGACAGCATCCCCTACGGGCAGGGAGGCAAAGAAAGGACGGGTTCTGCTCGAGGCTCCCTGCACTTCATTCCTGCCATAGCCGCTGTCAATCGGCTCAGGCATACACAGTAACCTTTTCAAGCTCCATAAAACCCTTCACAGATTATCTTTTAGAAAGCAGGAGAGGGAAGCAGACCCCTCTGTCCCCTCCGGGCAGATGGCAGAGAGAGGTCCCGGCCTTCCCCCGGGTTGCAGAGCTCCAGACGAAAGGTTAACGGCAGGATGCAATCATAAGGTACGAGCACAGGGCAGGAGCAGGGGAAATTATTTCCTGCTGAATTGTGGCTGCCGTTATTCCCAGAGAAAAGCAGCGGGTATTCAGGAGCTTCTCATTAGCCAGCATGATTTCCATTAGGCTGTCTATTAACATTTTGTGGCCGTAATAAACACCTACATAATTAACACAAAAAATAAGCTCTCTCTAGGCTAAGACAGGAGGCCAGAACAGGCTGGGAATAGCGGAGACAGGTTGGTTCCTGCCTGGAAATTTCTGCCTGCAAAGGAATTGCTCCTTCCATCCTCCCATGACAAATTCCCTTACAGAGTCAGGATTTAGTGTTCCAGTCTTCCTGGCTCAGTCTACACTTACCTCTAGCATGCAAGCCAGAACGCATTCTTACAGAGCAGGGTAGAATTTATCTTGCAGATCCCACAGGGGAAATTTGGGGCAGCCCGGTATTCCCCAGTCCCCTGCCACAGCAGTGTCTTCCTCCTAAAAACTGATGGGGCAAGAAATACCTTGGGAAACACGCGTGTGATCCCAGCTAGCAGACGAGCCTCAGGAGCTCGTAAAAGGCCCCCACGGAAAGAAGATGGGCTTATTACAACTTGAGCGTGTTTACAACCATGAAGTACTCCAACCCTTCAGGTCTGCAGTGAATTAATGGGAACACTGCAACAGAGAGGGAAAAACAGACCTGCCTAGTGCCTCCATCACTGGCTTTCCGTGCCTCCTCCATCCTGCTCCATGCCTTAACAGCCATTTCTGAATATTGCAGTCACAGGGGGAGCTTACAGGTTGCTATGACTCCCCCCCAACCCCTCCTCCCCAGCTAATTGCCAACAGTGCCACGGGTAACCCCATGCACGGGAGGCTGAGGACGTGTCACTTTGACAGGGCTGCCTGTCCCCCGCCTCTGGCTTCAGACTTCTGCTACTAAGAATACGTGTGCCCTTTATCATGGCTTTGAAATAGAGAGAGACACTTTGGAATTCAATTAGTCAAACAGTTGCCACAGCAACAAAAACATATAAACTTAAATGATTTATACTTGCAGACACCACTTCAAATAGGAATAAATTTAATACAGCAGCTGGGAATGAAATGCATTGTACAATAAGAAAATTGTATTTTTTCTCTCCCCGATGATAGGCCTCAAGGTCTTAATGCAATATAGATGAAAAAAGATATTTGGGCAGAAGGAAGCAGAATACATTGTGCTGTATGTACAATGCCTGCTTGGAGAGTACAACACATAATGAGCACGTACATCTAATCACAGAGCTCCAATTCTGTTTGCAGACAGCCACAGATCAAAGATTGCAGCTAGCAAATTGACTGCTTGGTTTCACTTTCTTTCTTTGACTCCCTTCCATCTCATGAAACCTTTCCTGTCAGCCCCCGCCCAGGAGTGAAACAAATCTAACCTTATTCCAGCAGCTTCTCTATCGGCTATAGAGCCAAGTCCCAGCTTGGTAAAGCAAGATTTGTGCCCGTGTTTATTTTCAAGCAGAAATGCTTTAGTTCAAGCATAGTTCTAAGATTCAAAGTAGAAATTAATTCCAAGGAATGTGCAGGAAAATATTTCCTCTGCAGGAAAACTGCAAAAGCTTGCAAGCAGATCTAGAATAGCCTATCCAAGTGATAGCCACCCGCAGTAGTTTTGCCCATGACATGCTGGATGTGTGGTGAAAGCCACCTTTCCTGCAGCTCTCTTCTGATTCCAGATTCCCTGGAGTCTACCTCAATTGATGCACCAAAGCCAGCTGCTGTCAGTGCTTGGCAGTGCCTGGATCAGTAACAGACAACATCCAGAGCAAAACGAAGTGGCTCCAACCACTGCCCTTTTACCATTTACCATCACCCACACCACCACCCACCGTTTTCCTAGGAGGCATTTTGGAAGCCATTGCCTACACCCAACAAAGCCTGATCAACATCAAAATGCACTACCTGCAGTGGGAAAGAGGTTTTATTCTAACCATGAACAAATAAACAAACAGAAAGGCTGCAATTCTACCAGAAGTCACGGGCTCCTCAAAGGAAAAAGAAGAAGAAAAAAGCAAAAAACATCACACAGTGAGGTTTTTTTTGCTTGTTTTAGGCAGGAGGTCAAGAGTACTGCTCATCATCAGAGCTGGCAGGCAGGGGAGAGAGTTCATGATGCTTTGGGCACAGATCTAGATTAACACCTGCAACTCTCTTTAGCAGCTTTGGAAAGGAAAGCGTGCAGATGCAGAACAACAGCTAAACAAAGCTAATAATGCATTCGTATTTATGTAGACAGGAAGGAAGCTCAATTGCCAGGAGAGTACTGAAGTCTACAAGTGTAAATACATACCAAATAAGTCAGCTTGATGAGATGCCAAGTTTGTTCAGCAGAGTGTGGCACTTTACTGCTGAAGTGCTCCTGTAGCAGGGAAACCAGGAAAATGTCAAAAAGGTCAATGGGTGAAATGTGTAGCTCCATTAAGAAACTACGAAAACAAGTTTGTATCAATACGGTTTAGTGCTATCTTTCTCAATTGCAAAGTGCCCATTGGTCCTGCCATATTGAAGCACAAACATTTTGCTCCAGAGCTCTGTGTACTGTTGATCTACAGCTCACTACTCTCCTCACAAGGCAAAAATAGAACACATTTATAAACAAAGGAGCCGAGTTACTGAGTTTAACAGCCGGAAGGCTCCAGATTTCATGCACAACCTCACAGAAACAAATTCTGTCATCTGGCAACACTGAGATCACCAGGGTTGTAGATGTACAAAGATGATCCATGAGGATGCACCATCCTTATAGACGGCACCTCTGTTCTAAACAGGGGATGAGAGATCTGGGCTTGTTCAGCCTGGAGTAGAGAAGGCCCCCATCCCTAAAAGTGTTCAAGGTCAAGTCAGAAGGGGTTTTGGCAACCTGGTCCAATTGAAGTTGTTCCTGCCCATGGCAGGGGGCTGGAAATCCATCTTTAAGGTCCCTTTCAACTGAAACCACCTGATGATTCTATGATGTGGTGAAGCAACTGCGTGAAGATTTGTAGGACACGTATCGCCAATATTTGACTACAAAAAGTAAATTAGTAGTTTTACAATATCTCTGAGCCTCTTCTCTCAATCTAGGCCATTCGCAGGCTCTGAGTCAAGGTAAAAAAAAAAGGAAAGCTACTGTACATAACAGTACAATGCATCTCTTACGATGTTTAGAGCCATCACAATATTTAGACCATGAATCAACCTTCCATAAAGATTACCAAAGATCCTGAACAGTTAGGGGATAGAAGTAGAACAAAAAACTAACATTCAGCTTGTGAAAGCAAATGTCTTGACTCAGCTGGGAAGCCCCCTCCATCTCCCTTTTCCTATGAAGGTAACATCTGTTCTACAACTTCCCTGCTCCATCTCTCTTCAGTACAATAGCACAAAGAACAGCAAGCTGGCATGTCCAACCCCACACCACTGCTTCTGGATTAGAGGACGAAGCAATTCAGCAGCCAGCTCCCCAAGCCACAAACTACATTCATCATCATCTTTACAGGCCCATACACAGCTGGCTCTCCTGATGATAATGTGTTCTACAGTTTCCCTTGCTGGCGTGGCTTATGTTAATACTCCATTAACATTGCTAATCAGAGGCAGACTTCTGGCAGCATCTCCAGGGGATGAGCAAATGTTGTCCTATGCCTTTTACTTTAGGAGATCAGACTTTCAGATAAAATCCATTCCTAACATC